TTGTAGAACCAGTCTGTCAGAGCTGTGAAGCACTTGTGATGAAGACTCAGTACCTTTAAACAGGCAGATCCCTCTGCCTTGCTGCCAGCGTTGGCATCCAGGTCATTGACATTGATATTGCAGCTTAAATTCAGCCTGCAGACTGGATATGAAAAGGATAGCTGCTTCTTGAAAAGTGAACACGCTTTTGGTTGCAATCAAAAGTCCCAAATCAGAAGTCCAAAACAAACCACTTCCACTGATCAGTGATTGCATCATGTCAGATCAGAGCACAAACAGAATAATAAATATTGAAACTTGTTTTATGATCAAAGTTGAGGGCCTGGAATGGGGCTGTTGAATATGTGATGCAACCATGTACTTGTACACTGCCTGAACCCATTCAGCTAAACGGTTCTTTAAGTAAGACCAACACCAACTTTCTGCAGATTTATTAAATTAGGGTCAGGGCTCTCTTTAAAGAGCTCTATTTATGCCAGATTTAAAACATGCAATTGTTGATAACATTGTCATTACAAGTTATGAGTTTTAAACTACAGCCTAACTAAAATTCTATAAATAGCATTATCATTAGCTACAAATGTATTCATTTTCTATTATATGCGTACTAATGGGTTAGTTAATATAGCAGCCTCTGCCATCAGTGTGTGAATCGTGTGAATAGGTAACAATGATTTAGTGAGACCTGCAGTGCAGTGTTCTAGTCAGAAGACTAGAAAAGTCTTACACAAGTCTCTCTACCATTTAAACAGAGGCGCTTCTAAATCAGATATGTCAGGGTGCTTTAAAACCGCCTACCTTCTCTGGTCAAAACAATACAGACCATGCTGGAGTGGAATTTGAACTTAGTAGGACACACTGGTTGCATTGTTGTGAGAGAAGCCACTATTTCAACATACTGTAGCATGTTTCCTTAATGTCTGATGATCTAGTAAGGTCATTATTTTATTTAGTTCAGTAAACATCTTACTTATTGGGCCGTTTATTGAACTATTGCTATTGTAAACTGGACATAGCAGTTTAATTGGTTTATGTTTTCTACTCATGACTTGTAGGGAAGAAAAAAAAGATCCCTGGTTAACTTTTCAGGTTCAGTTCATGTGTGACGCAACCACATGCTAGCTGTGCCATCATCTTGCATGATTGCATGATGACCACTTCTTACAGTTAGCCGCTTGTTTTTCTCTCTGTATCAAAGGTTAAACGAGCTTTCACAGGCAGCTCGTTCCCATTTGCTTCATTTACCTCAATAAGAATCAACCCGTTAATAAGTCCTGTCTTTCAGCAAGAGGACACTGATTTGGCTCCCTGTCAAGTCTATAGATTATATAACAGTGGAGGGATTCTCTTCACTGCGGCATGTAGAAAACTTGGCATGGTGCAGCGCTAACAATGGTGTTAGCTTCTGTCTAACGAAGCATGGAAATATTACCCAGCAAGGAAAACATGTTTGTTACCAGAGATGGCCGGCTTGAATCTGCTGCCTGGAGGGAATCCCTAGGGTTATGGCCAGAAGTGATTAAATGAAAAAATCCTGTTATTTCATTGGGAAATGTTATGTATTTGTATTTGTATTGCTTGAAGGAGAGAAAAGCCAAATAGCACCAATGAATGACTTTGGACAGTGGTGGGGGGGTGTGATGTTCTCCGTTTACTTGAACTGTGTTTGTTATCATTACATAATTGAGTTTTCAGTAATAAAGAGAATCTCTGCTAACCATGATATGATCCTTATTACTCGAAAAGGTGTCATGTTAACAAATGACTTTAAATGCTCATTAGGAGTTCCCTTTTAATAAATGACTTAACTGAAGTAACCTGATCTGAAGACAGCTCTTTATTCAAACAGAACTCACACTATATCAACAAACATTAACTGACTCAACTGTAATTTAAACGCATGCAAATCTGAAGAATAAAGGAATGCTTTAATTAGTGAAGAAGGGCCTCCGCTGATGAGTGTGGTGCCTAGAGGAACTAAAGTCTAAAGTCTCCTCCACATGATACTTTTATAACCATTTACACTGCTCATTAATATTCAAGTTTGTATAGTGTGCAGATTTAAATTCAAATGTAAAATGGGCAAGCCTAGTGGCAATATTTACCATTGTAAATAAAGCTGTATTGCATGCATAATTGTCAAATTATGCATATGTAGCAGGTTTTATTCGATTGTACGGTGAATACAATACACGGACAATACGATGCTGCTGTTTGCTGTCTTGTCCATGTTGACTTCCTTTTGTTTTATTTCTTGCTTTAAAACTACTTCAAAACTTGAAAGAAATTACCATTTTTATATTTAAATCCAAAATAACTGAATTTAGATGCAATTCAAAATGTGAATCATTTTGAAAGACCAAAATCACTATTGATAAAGAGATTAATCACAATGGAAAATTGTAATCGTTTGACAGCCCTATTTATAATATGTGAAAAGTAGATTAAAAGGATTGTAGGTACTTTGTAAGTTTTATAGAAAAGTTGCACTTGTTTTTGATCAGATGTGCAATAAGATACAAGTGACGACAGTATGTCATCCTCCTCTTCCCAGGAAACCGTCTTCTCCAAACTGAGACTGCAAAATTCTCTCTTAAAATGACAAAACTATTTCTCTCCTGCTGTAATGCATAGTGTTACAGGATGGATCGTGTTCCTCTAATACTGGTGAGCAGTTGTTTGCAGTATGCATACACTTTTTACTGACAGCACCTCTACATACTGTAATCCTAGAAGTCATCGTCTATCACCTTCAGGCCCACCCAAAGGAGAGATGGGAAAGAATCCAGAGATTAAGTTTCAGACTACTTTTTTCATATTGCTCCACTTATTTTATGTAAAACAAACAGATTGAATGAAAACAAAGAAGAAAGATAAGAGGAAAAAGAAACAATGAGGAAAAAAAACATCCATCTCAAAGATTATTTTTAAGACAATCATGTATGCTGTAGTTGAAGTATATTTTGTAGTATTTCTTTCAGCGTTTAGGCTTCATTTTAAAGAAGAAAATCTATAAAATGACCTTCACTTTCCACTTGACCTCTTTGTTGCCCTACAATAAGCATTACCATTGTGTTTGCCTCAAGAGGCATGAAGGAGATTTTAGACAAATATTAACACATGAAACACATTAACACAAGAAAACTCCGGGGAATGTCCTTTCAGAGCAAGGTCACTTACACGGTCAGTGAATGCATCGTTGAGTTTTGTTACACCAAATTACAAAACGCTACATGTACGCTCTTCGTGAAGATTGTAAATGTGCAGCCTGGGTCACAAACCTTTACATTTACCTTTATTTATCTGTCCTACAAGCATCTTGTGTAACAGATGTCAAACCTTTGTGCTGTGTTTACAGTTAATGCTTCTAACTCACTGTTACCTGCTGTATTAAAGGTATATAACATTTAAAGGTGTCGGATATAGAGGTTTTCAAGATTTGGAATTACAAAAAAGGGGAGCATGGTTAAGAAGAGAACAGATATAATAAAATGATGAAAATAAAATAATTTAGGTGATAAACTCTGACCAGTTTGGAATCAGGAGCATTTTTTCTTCAATCTTTGCCATTTTTGATTATTTAGGGATTACAAGATAACGTTTGTCTAGTTTTCTTGCAGTAGATAAGACACATGATGTTAACAAAACAAACATAAAAAACAACCATTCAGGCGTTCATGCTCAATGTTCAGTTCTCGCTGTTATCATGTTTGTTTTATCTTTAAACAAGCCAAAGCTCCTCTTTAGATTGCGATCTTCATTTTCATTTCTGGGTGAACCACCAGGCTTGGTAAAGTGGTTATACTGTTGTCGGATGGAGTTAAAGTTATGATCCAGTTTGAGACACAAAAAAGATGACAGTGTAGAGAAGGAATGGAAGAAAAAAAGGCTTAAACCCAAAATAGTTTCAGTTTGGCAGCTTTCACACTTTTTTTCTGACAGAGCTGCAGACATTTTCTCTCACCCAGAAACAAGAAGGAGGAACAAGTTGTATTATTGTGTGAGAGGCATGGCATCAGTGAGCACTGCTGACCACTAACGCTGGCATCGCCTACAGTAGGAGTCACACAGTTTTTCACATGTTTCAATCCCTATTTCCTGACGATCAATATCAGGAAGGCACCATATAACCACAGCTACAGGCTCCTCTCTGGCACCAAACAGTATTTTATTTTTAGTCGTCTGAAATAGTTTGTTCCTTGAGGGAAAATCTCTGTGATAGTGAATTATTGGAGTTAGTTAGTGATTCAATAATTACAGTGTTTAAGTTGTATTGATGTATTCAGAAAAGGATTGATTATGAGGAAAACGAGTAAACCTAGAAAAAAGGAAGAGGGCTCTCCTTTATACTGAACAAGGATATTATCGATCACTATAGAGATGATGTGTTTAACTTTCTGTTAATACTGAATAGGCCGAGTTCCTTCCTGGAGGCTTATCATAGAAGAATGTAGAAATCAGCAATGACTCTTTCTGATGTGCAAACACTTGGAAATATGATCTATCATCTAAATGAATCTTTTCCATTAGACTTTAAAACAAGTCATCTAAAACATACATTACGCATGGCATGGCATGAGATATTTCTTTAATGTAAGAGTTCTAGTATGTTATCAATGAGGAAAAACTGTAATAAATGATTTACCTCTTACGTCAAAATAACAATAAAATCTGATTTATATTCCTTATCCTTCACTTGGTGATCAAATCTCCAAAGATCTGTTTTGAGATTTTGGGCGTAGAGTGAGAGTAAAATAAGTTTAAAATTGGGAGTTTATAATAAAATGGAATTTAGCTTGCTCCAGCAGCATGTTATCATATCTGTAACACGACTAAGATGCTGAGGCTGACTCTGTCACTGTGCCGTTACACTTTGAGCAACAGTGCCTGTGTTTGCACAGCCAGCAGATCTCCTGACTCCTCCCCCCTGAGCAGGCTGTTTAATTCCCGTGAGGTGATGCCTGGTTAGTAACTTAATAAAGCTGCTGGATGCAATCCCGAGGCACAATGTGTGGATCACGTTCGTCTGACAGACCTGCTCTCTGCTCTGCTCCTGCGCTCACACTGCCTGCTGCTTTGCTGTAAGTACTGCAGGTCACAGACATTTCAACTTTTGCATGTGATGAAGGGGGAGAGATCCCTGCTGGTTTAATAACCCATCAGGACTTATGAATGAAAAAACTTCAAACAGAGCGGGGACAGAGACAGGAAGAACGTGTAACTGCTTTTGGTGAGTTTTAGCCTTTTAAACCGGGCAAAGAAATGCAGACTTTAGTGCAACTTTAATGCGACTTTTTAGTTCTTGGAGGTTCACTCAACCAAATGTTATTCCCTTTTTTCAGCTTTCTAAATGTGCAGTTTAATAACCATGTTTTATTAATAATCACCTTAGATTTAGCATGGTAATTCAAAAGATTTGTGCTTCATGACAAAGTTCAATGAGTGACAACCGTGTTTGCTTTGTCTGTAAGTGTGATAATATGACCTTGTACACAATGTTTAAAGAAGGCTCTGTGCGGATTTTTGTTTTGCCCAGAGGCAACCATACTGATAGGGTTCACTACATTTCCAGCCACATGCACATACCAGGAATACATAAGTAGACTAATCATTTTGTTCATTATGCTCATTGCCAGGAGGTTCCTGTCCTGGTGTAACTGTCAGAGCATAATGGTGGCTTTCAAAGGTGTCTGGACCAAGGACTTCTGGAGGGCCGTGTCTGGAGAATACCTGGCCACTCTCATTTTTGTCCTCCTTGGTCTGGGATCCACCATCAACTGGGCTGCAGGGGAGGAGAAGCCTCCACCAGCCGATTTAGTCCTCATCTCCCTGTGCTTCGGCTTGACCATCGCCACAATGGTGCAGTGTTTTGGGCACATCAGCGGTGGACACATTAACCCTGCGGTGACCGCGGCAATGGTGGTAACCAGGAAGCTGAGCCTAGCGAAGGGGTTGTTCTACGTGGTGGCTCAGTGCCTGGGAGCTATCACAGGCGCTGGGATCCTGTACCTGGTCACTCCTGCAGCTTTCAGAGGCTCCCTCGGTGTGACCACGGTAAGAATCTGACCCATTTTCATTTTGCCTTTACAAGTTTTCTCGCAGTTTAGTGAGTTTAATGTTCTTCTTCTGTTTCCTAGGTAAACTCTGACCTCTCATTAGGTCATGGCCTTCTTGTAGAGCTCCTCATTACATTCGAACTGGTCTTCACAGTCTTTGCCACATGTGATCCCAAACGCACAGACCTGGGAGGCTCTGCTAGCCTTTCTATTGGCGTAGCTGTAGCTATTGGTCACTTATTTGCGGTAAGTTTTTTCCAGTTTAGTGATAAGGAACAAAGATCAAAAGAGAAAATACTTTAATCAGCAATTTGGACCTAACTCTGTCCCTTTATCGTGTGTTCACAAATTCTCATTTCTCCAACAACAGGATGTCCAGCTATATTATTAATGAAAAACTAAGCTTTTATCAGAAACTCAGAAACTCAGCCTTTTGCAAAGCCAGCTATATATCTGTTGACAACTTCCTGAACTTCTAACCAACCAGCAAAACAGCCAATTAAAAAGTCTTCAAATACATTCTTAAATCCAACACAAAATAGTAAAAGACTAATTACAAGTGCAAGCTTCATGAGCATGCTCTAAAAGCACAAACTGCCGCCTCTTGAGAAAGAGCAGGTGCATTAAAGCATGTGCAATGTTGTAGACTTCTCGTTGATTCACACCCACGTGCACATCTTTATTGGAGACTGCCATCGCATAGCAACCAATCTCATGGGGGCTCCCAGAACCCTGCAGAGCAAATGAATGCACAGGGAAATAGATGTTATCTCTCACACTGCTCAGAAACTGATTTTCTCCCTGTGTCTGTTTAGCTAACGCATATATTATTACTTGCAGTTGATGTGTTTGATGCATAAAACTGTGGGTCAAAGCAGGACAACATTATGATTTAAAGCCTGTCTTTATAGGTTTATATGATAATGTAAAATTCTTTATCATTTATACTGTCCTCCTCAATATGTGTCTTCCAGATCCCTTATACAGGAGCCAGCATGAACCCTGCTCGATCCTTTGGGCCTGCAATGGTCACCCTCAACTTTGAGGGCCACTGGGTAAGAGATACTTTTCTCAGAGGATTATCTTTCTTTGAGGAGTTCATCAAAAATATGACCCTGTTACTCCTGATAGTGTCTGGGTCAGTGTGAATGGACATCTGCCATGACTATATGATGAGGTATTTGCTCTCTAGTCTAATAAATCAGCCCATTTGGGTGATATCCAATGCGTTGCAAGTCTTAATGCTCTGATATAATCCGCAGTAGTAGCCAATGATGTTTTTTTTGAATGTCCTGAAGAGGGCCACAGGCTAGTATGGCATGTTGAAACCTGGTAAGGTCACATTTTCCACACCACGGCAAGAACAGTAAAAACAGCTGTGACTTGAGGACACGATCAAAGATCAGGCTTCAACTTCTATCAAGAAAGAAAACCTGAGCAATATGTTTTAAAAGCTTTTTGATCACCTTGCATAATTATGATCATAGAAATGTCTTGACTCCACCCAAAAGTGCCATGGAGTCAAGAATTTTCAGCACTTTTCCGCCTACATAGAAAGATATCCAGAAAAAGGTGTAAAATAGCATTAGCTGTGAATTCATGTATCCAGGCAATTAATTCCAACCGAGATGTTTGCAGCCAGCATGGTGCCATAATGTGGGAGGGAGGCAACATTGTCAGTGTCTCCTCTTGGGGCAAAATGCTTGATGCTGCAGACTCTGATCTACCTGCTTGAGATAATGGATCCTCTTCTTTTTTTTTTTTTTTACCAATTTGTAGCCAAACAAATCAGAACATGTTGTTGACAGTAATCAAACATCTCCTATGAGCCCTGATTAACCAGCTGACTCATTAAGCTCTTTGTCTCACTCTTTATGCTAGGTGTACTGGCTGGGACCCGTTCTGGGGGGCATCCTGGCTGCAGGTCTGTACGAGTACCTGTACTGCCCAGACCCTGAGATGAAGAGAAGCTGAAGCAGGTCTTTCAGAAGGATCGGTCAGGGAAATACAGGGAGGTGGAGACGGACGACCTCACCATCAAGCCGGGTTCTAGCTCTGATTGGAGAGAGGCGAGAAAAAAGATCCTTTCCAGGACTCGACGGGAGAAGTGCTTTCTTCAGTATGACTATCACGTGCACTGGAAATGGAGACCAATCTGTAGAGCAGAGTGGCAATCAAACTTTGGAGTATCCATCTCGCAGCCTGTCCCCCTGACTCCAAAGACTTTAAATCCTCGGAGCAGAATATGATTTCTGTCCATGAGGCTCCACAGAAAAGGCTGAATTACTCTCATTGTCATAAAGCTAATATGCTGTTATGGCTCAATCCCACAACCTGTTCAATACTCCTCCCAAGGCCCTCTCTGAACGATTTTGTAGCAGTGTTGGCATGCTGCGCACACTGCACCCTGCAGAACGACAGCCTGCAGTACATTGTGTTGAGGAAATATGAGAAGAGGGTCGAGCAATTATGTGGGGTCATCACGCTGAATTGGAGAAGTGAAGAAGAAAATGCAGCCTTGTTATTTTTGGATTAGTGTCACATTTGGTCTACGTATTCTATATGTAATAACAGCAGAGATTTTCCCTGTGATCATTAAGCACATTACATATCCAGAGCAATGTAAGACAGCTCCGAGGAGCTTCATTATCAGAGTTGTGTTACATCGCTCTTCATTTTCAGTGCATTAGTCAGGAAAAACAACCAACTCAACTGTATGGAAACATTGTAACAGATTATCTCAACTTCTCCAGGTTATCTTCTTTATTAAAACATGCTGATTTTATTTATCATTTTATATAATTATGATTCTTAGAAGTTTTTTTATTTATAGATCTAAATGTAGAGCATTTTAATTTCTTCATGTGATTTGTCGTATTTTATAGTCAAGTATTTTTAATATAATTGGATGATCTGCCTATGTGAGTTTTTGTTTAATATTTTTTTTTGTTCTTGTTCAATCAACACTCCTTGAATGCTGCAGCATTTTCAAGACATTAAGGCGAATAATAAAGTTGTTTTTTTTAATTTCTCATGAGAAATGTCATCATCTTGTGAACAGTGAGTTTCACATGTTAAGGCGGTTGCACAAATCTACGTCTCTCACCATCAAAGGAAACCTAACGAGCATACCCATAAGACTTTTCCCTGAACCCAATCGTTCCTGGTGGTAGGATCTGTTCAGTGGGGAGAGGAAAGGTTCTGAGCAATGATGGATCGGCTCATCTACCTTTTGATTATGTCTCCCTGTGTGTCCACGTTGTGTGTTCCTGGTGAGTTTAAGTCTCCTTGAATAGCTTCATGTATTCCCGTTCTATCACTACAGAGAACAGGAAATGATTCCACTTTGTGATACCCAATCGAGGATGTCTGTGTTGTCTACATTTGATTTCCTTTCCTAATAGAACAGGTGCAGTTCAATCTATTTGTGTAATTTGGAGGAAATGATCTGCCCCACTGATGCCGCTGCTTCAACTTGATTCGTCTACATGGTGAGACTATATTGCATTTGAGCGCCGTTGTAATTCAGATACTAAATCACAATAGTTTTACTCCTACAAGGACTTACCTCCCCTTATTTCAGCTTTTTCCCCTGCAGGTTTTATGTGTGCCAACAGCCTCACCTACTGGCCACATTGTGAATCACAGGTTGTGTTGTGTTGTTCCATTAGTATTTCTCCAGGGGAGGGCAGCCACGAGCCTTGGATATCCAGGTTAGACTGCAAACATTGGTAGACACAATTCAGTTTTATTCATAAGACTGAGGCACATTTAATTTTGAAAAAGGTCCAGGGCATTGATGCAGAACTTCACAAGAGAATAGACCTGAAACACAGACCCAGTTACAGAAGAGAGTCCTGAACGTCGGGTTATGAATAAAGTGCTTTATAATTAAATCTTGGTATAGCTTGTAGTTTTTACAATTTGGGTTAGGCAGTAGTTATCGTTACAGAAGCTGCTTGAATTGAACCGGCAATACTCTTCTGGATAGAAGGTGGCATAATTAACTCTTAAAAGGAAAACAGTAGTATGTTATTGTTGATGTTGAACGAAATGCTGTTTTTCAAGGCCTGATGGAGATAAAAATGGAGCGAGAGTTCTCAGCAGCACTCTTCTTTACCTAAAGGTATGCTGCCTGAATCCCCTAAAGGCTTTCATGGCTGGAGGCCAGAACCCTCTCAGCTCCGCTTAATCATCTTTACAGCCTAAATAAACAAGAGCATGAATCTGATGTTTTAATGCATTATCTATTTCCTCTTGGGATGGCTGATAAGGAAAGGTCTCACCGTTTTGATTTATCTTTTGTTCATCAGATGATTTAATATTGGGAGATAGGTGAGGAGAGCAGTCCCTGTTGGTCAGGAAATGTGTTTTTTTCTGAATTGTATATTGCTGAGGGAAAGTAAAATGATGAACAAAGTATTCAAACTCTAATCATGGCGGATGGCTGTTCACCAATGTGTTTGTTTCTGCTTGAGGTTTCTGTCTGTTAAAAGGAAGTTTTACCTTTCCACCTTTGCCAAGTGCTGGTTCACTGTGGGTTGATGTCAGGTCTCCGTACAGTATGTAAACTGCCATGAGACAACTCTTATTAGGATGTGGTGTTGATATATAAATTCATTTTGATTGATCCATTGACATGGCTTGTGAGTGCAGACAGAGCAAGATATTGTTCGAGTTTCTTGTGAATTAACACCAAAGAGCAGATGCTCATTTCAATCAGTTCTCCTTGTGTCCTGACAAACTCCTGAAGCTCGCTGTAGCCTCTTCAGTTCGTAAAAGGCAAATAAAAAGTGACAGCGAATAATAGACCGTCGCTGTCTGTCTGTTAACATCAGCGAGATGTTTAAGCAGAAAACTGATAATGCATGGATAGCCTTCACGGCGGCTGCCCCCATAACTTGTTCATTTACATTCCCTTTCATTGCAAATACCAACAATGGCTATATGATGAGAATATTGTTATAACCAGAGCCTCATTTGCACATCATACACATGCCAGCCAAGTATATCTCAAAGTGCATCTCATGCTTATCTAACTGAGAACAGACTGATTTCTTGCCACTTGAATATTCAGATTCTCAATTCCCAGCACACACCATAGAGGGGAAAAAAAAGATAAAACACACACCTTAAAGATCATTAGCAAATAATATTTGGGGATTCGTGAAGAAAAACAGCGTTAAACACTTGTTTAATAATTCATACTATAAACAAGAAAGTCTCCCACTTCCTTAATAATTTAGACGTAAGCTAATGTTGATTTATTCAGGAAGGTCTCCGCCACCAGCAGCGCCTGCAGTGCCCAAATTTGAATTAAAGTAGGACAGTAGCAGGCGAGTCTGTAATAACATTTGTATAATTTTATTATTGCTCTGGGCTCAGTTCATTTCCTCCTCCAGTAGCTGCGTGAAATTGTTTGATTCTGGAAACTGCCTTGAGTCTGCGGCTCTGGGGTTGGAGGGTGGTACAGGAACAGGAAGGCATGCGACACTCTCTCTCTCTCTCTCCCTGTCTGATGCTGTCAACACACACACTCAGATCCACATACACACACACAGATAGAGAGAGAGAGAGAGAGATAAATAACTTTGTTATTCTGGGTTTGGTAATACTGTTACATTGGCTCACTTAATAACTCAAGCTGTCTTGAGAATATGATTGATATTCTCACTCACCTTGTCACTTATGATGAATATTTTACTACGTTTATGTGAGAGAGCGAGGGAGCAGAATAACTCATTCATTACATTATCAGATCATATAAATGTGCGAGTTTGTGTTTACGTCTTTTTCCTGCAGAGGCGTCGCCATTTCTCATTTGTATTAGTCAAAGAAAGTACATTTCAATGCTCCTCTGACAACTGTTTGATTGTAAAGAAGCAGATTTTTTTTAAATTATATTAAAATATTTCATTTAATGTTACCAATGAGGAAGAATTCCACTTTATGATAATATGAATGTTTGTTTAGCTACAAAGTCTTATCTTCTGATTTCTACTTTGTTCTTTTACTGTACTTTGATTTGTTCCCCAGTGATAGGACTATCATTTCCAAATTATTAATCTACAAAACTCTGATTACTCTAACACAAACAATCAAGTTTGGGGGGTATTAGCTCATGTAACACACACCTGAGACCCTGGTGGCTTTGACACAGGAAGGGGGGGGTGGAGAAGTTCTGATTGGTTTCCTCGGGGCTCTGCTTCCTAACTTCCCACTGCACACATTCCCTCACTCCTCCTCCTCCTCCCCCCCCCCGCCCCCCCCTTCAATTCCTTTATGCAGAGCAGCCCAAACTGCAGTTTGATGAAACACATTTGTTTGACTTAACTCTTGCCGTGCCATCACAGGCTGAATCTCCGAGGCCTGTCGGTGTAATGTGGCCCAAAAGCAATCGGGTTAATGAGAGGATATATGTACAAGTGTGGGACTTGTCCGGAGGAGCTGTTTTCCATTTGGGTTTGGTCTGCTTGTGTTATTAGGGAAACCTTTATTATTGTTGCCCTCTAGTGGGAACCATATAATAGGATTACATTTTATTAGAGCCTCCCAGCATTACCCAAGCAGCCCCCTCCTCTTGTCTCTCTTCCCCTCTTAGTTGTGACACCGATTCCTCCGTCCACAGTGGGTGGGAAACGTGCATTTTTGGGGGGCTGAAAGTGCAGACAAAAAAAAGGGGCATCCTTGTATTTCCTTAGTTACAGAAAAGTGACATGTCACTAACAAACGTTGACATTTACTGACCTGACCGGGACTGAAACTGTGAACCTGCTGACTAGACTTAGTCATGTGTGCCTTTTGTACTTTGTAACCTGTGATAACCCTGATAGAACAGTGAGAAATTCATGTACATGCAAACTACAAATATTGCCTTGTGGAAGTTTCTGGAGTAGTGCATGAACAAAACACAAGTAATCCCAGGGTTGTTCATCTTTACTGGTCACACAATTCGGCAACGATTATCCTGTAAACGATTCCATTCCATTCAATATCACGATGCATTTTCTCAACTTTCCATATTACTGCAAGCTGTCACATCAATATGAACTCCCCTTTTACTATTTAGAAAGTGCATTAGAAGTCAATGTAAACAACATCTACGTCCTTATATTGTAAAGCAAAATAAAGAAATAATATAGGTCCAGCCGCAGCCAGAAAATCTACAAGAAATGTCAGTACAAGGGTTGGAAATAGTTTTTTTTTTTTTACAATTCTACAATTCACTTAGCAGATGCTGATGTACATCAGAGAGTAAGAACAACACAAGCAAGGATCTACAAAAAGAGGAAACATTTTTTACAACCTCCAACTGTGGCTGCTGGATACAAAAATTCACTAGCCACTCTTTTTTTTTTACCAGCCACTTTATTTTTTATCAGCAGCATTATGTACTGACATATAATATTTCAATCAAGGCTTATAGTATTCAAGTAAGAGGCTATTTTATGAAGGGTAATGTTTCAAATATTTTAAAAAATACCAGCATGCCCCTTGTCTCGCTCATCAACAGAAAAATGTTTATTGAAGTTATTTTAGTTATTGCTGCTATGTCTTCTAAGAATGATTTAGCTGCAAGTAAACCTGAGAGGCAAGATACTCAATTCATTGTTTTAAAAGTATACAAACTTTTATGAGGAGAGTCATCACAATCATAAAGGTTTCTGCTGGAAAGTCTGAGTTTCATTTTGGGATCACGCATAATCTCATGTTCACGCTTGAAAACTGCCCCCTCCATTCCTCATGTGGGGTTTGAAGTTTTGTTACTCTGCTGCGTTTTTATTTCAGAAGTCTGAGTTTTGATAAGTTGCTACAGCTGAAAACACCCCATTTCCTGATATAAATGTTTCACAATAAAAGCAATGACATATAGGCCCAGAACTTTTATTGTGAAGAACTTAGAATCAGAATAAGAATGTGTTTATCATTGAATTAACTGAGCTTTTGCAGAGCTACACTTAGCAGTGATTTTTGATAACGCTACGGGGAGTATTTTATGATGCGTTCCATTTAACTGGGAAGTCGAATGTCAGAGCTGGAAACGGCGTCATACCCAAGTTGACCGCATTCCAGTTACAACTTCAAAACAAGTTGGAAAAGCAACATGGACGCTTCCAGGAGTGCTTTTGTTGTATTAGCTAATATCAGGCTTTAAAAACCCACTATGTGACAGTTCACACTCGAACGCAATATAAAAACCATGTCCACAGATAGAACTTGCACAATTCTATCAGTGTGATTGGCTTGATTTACACAAAAACAAGACTAAGTTGCTCATGAACACTATAATGTACAGCTTATGGTGCATTCTATTTGATCTCAGAAGTTGGAAATTATGAGATGTCATCCGATAGCCCCTTGAAGTCAGAACCCCGACCTGGAAACTCAGAGGAACTTCAGTAACCCTAAGCTTGAAATCCAACATGGCTGCTCCATGCATCAACAATAAATTAAAAGTAAACATAACAAAGGTACTCCTGGAAGTATCCATGTTGCTTTTCGGACTTGTAACCAACTTGTTACTGGAATGTCGTTAACTCAGGTGTGACTCAACTCCGACATCTGACTTCAGAGATCAAATGGAACGCACCATTACTGCTGCTCATTTGACTACAGGCCACTGCCAGCTTTTGATCCTCTTGACACTACACAAAAACAGAGGATGCTAATCTCCAACCCTGGTCAGAATGTACAATGAAGTTCTGTCACTGCATCGATGCAACATCGTCCACGTCAGCGTTGCGATTTTTTCAACACCCCTATTAAGTTACCTGTGCTTGATTGTTGTTCTGATGGTCTCAGCCAAAAATAATAATAACAACTCCACTTACCCATTTTCACCTCATGACTCTTCTTCCTACACATTTTCCTTTGCAGTAAACCACACAAAAGCCACCTACACTCTCAGTTAACTGTAAAAAATGTTGCTCTTTCTTTTCCTTGTTTTTAGTTGTAATTGTGGCCCTTTTGTTTCCACCTTTTTTTGTTGTTGTTGTTTTGGACAAACCACAATGTGTCTACTATCATATTTCATCTACAATATTGTTAATGTTTAGTCTTTTTGATTAATTTCTGGTGGTACAACTTGGACTAAATCGTAGCTATGGAGTCATTCTCTAGAGCTGATTTTCATTGTGCCAAAGATAATATTTGATGAACAGTTCTGGCCTAAAACTGTGCAGCCCTGCAGGGCAGATTGAGTCAGGCTCTGGAGCAGCTTCAGCACTTTGCCTTCTGCATCCCACTCCCTTACATAACCACAGGCCATAACAGGGTGTGGTGAGTACAGCAGCAGTTGTAAACACGGTGTGAGGCTAAACTAACATCTCTTTTATACTGCATTATAACTGCTTTGTATAGAGGCCAATGTCCGTCTGTAGGCTATAGGTGAAATGGTTGTTAGCATGGTTTAGCTACTTAAATGTTAACTCCTAAATAGGAATGAGAAACGTTATTCAGCAAGGTAGTATATTTGCTATGATATGTTTAAGTACATTTTCAGATGCCAAAAATCATTTTAGTCTTTTACTTAGTGTTTGAACTGTGTCACATTCCAGTGTTTAAGTAAGAGAGCATCTTTAGCTTTACAGCCTTTAGTCCAACAAGTGCCAAGTTCAGGTAATGCTAAATGCTATCTAAAAGCGACGAAAGTAGAGTTATAAAGTTGGCAAACAGAAACATGTAGCACACATTTGCTAATATTAGCAGAAATTACACAACATTTGCTCACATTAGACGATATAAACTAAAATTGCCTGACATGAGCCCAACCCAACCCAACACAAGCTACAGCTCATATCAGACCAAGTTAGCCATAGTTAGTTAGCCTATTGTCTCGCAATTTTACGTGTGTATTTGAAAGGAGAAGAACGTTTCTGTTTAATGAAGTGTTTTTTTTTAAATAATTGTATTTGTAACAGAAAAGGTACATAGGCGTCAAGGCGTTTTGTTTTTAAAATTGCGAGCAAGTAAATCTCGCTTTCCAACATCCTTCCCTCCTTTCTCCCATGTATGCATTTATAACCACATGATGTCATTCAGGCCAAGAGGTTTGTGTTTGAGTCAAACTCACATCTGCAACCAATCTGGATAATTTGTCCAACGAAATCTGGTGCAACCAACTCAAGCTTGCCTGTTGTAGCTGCCATGGCATTCAGGGTCTAGATCCAAGAGAAATACAGCTTTTCAACACAACACATATTTACAACCATAATCTAATGCATTTTTTGAATAATACAGTGAGATGATCTTCATGAACAGGCTCCATTTTTGAGGAAAATGGAGCCTGTTGTTCTTTATTCACTAGTTTCTCAGACTAATGGCATAAAAATGTGCAAGTGTGCGTGCGTGTGTGTGTGTATGATGAGAGCTGAGGGTTTGGGGTATCCTGTGCCAGCCAGTAAGCTCTGGGGCAAATAACTTAATTGTAACACTTTAATCCTGTGTTTGTTTTCCTGTGGGACATGCTGGTCAAAAAGTGGAAAGTTTAATGGTTCCTGGATCGGATCTGACTCTTTTGATGAAGAGAACTGGAAAATGATTTTGTTTGTATACTTTATCCATCAGTCACTGGTCCCCTGACATGACACTCTTATTCCACTGTTGCTTGAAGTTTAAAACAAACTTGGATTCAGTTTTCTCCCTGGATGAACTTTAAAATAAAATCGACTGTTTGTAAATATTTGCTTAAAATGGATGAGTTCTCTGTACTCTTCTAGTGTTCTCCTGCTTTAAACTTGTATACTGTTACAATATCATAGCCAAGTTGGTTTGCTTCCATAGCTGCTGTTCCGCGCTTTCAACAGTAGGAGGGGCAAGAGCAGACATTTCTGATTTATTCCATAGTGTGGATGCTATGGCGTGAGGACAACTACTGAGAGTGTAGAGAAAAACTGTCAATTCTAAGTCCAGATGTGCACAAAACAGCACTATTGACTCAGACAGAATAATTGTATGTTCACATGAAGGAATTTTACAAAAAGGAAACACTTTGAACGTGTTTTCCCTTTGCAGACTGCATCCCCAAAGTGAATCTAAAAGCCTCAGAAGTGCCTCAATCTTCCTGAAATCATGCATGGTTGAACATTTGAAATGAGCTCGCGCATCAGCCTCGGGCATTGATTCAGACTTGATTGGGGCAAGGCAAGCTGCAAGTGCTTATTTATACAACTACGTCATTTGGATGCTGTCCAAAGGGAAGAAAGATGCTGAGAAGATTAGCAAAGGGGAGAAACTACAGAGTGAGAATTTCATTAAGCGCACTGCATTAATTGAATAAGTTGATTCCAGGCTAATCAACAAGTTGCAATGTGCACATGCAGCGTGTTAAAGTCGCAAGAAGAGTAGTTAGGTTAGATGTTTCAGAGGTTAGGAGTAAAAAAAAAAATAAAAAAAAAAAAAAATCAAAGGACTCCACCAACAATCTATATAATTATCATCATCTGCTGCTTTTCCTCCCTGGCAAAGAAACACTCCATCCATTTGTAGCAATCGCCCGGGGGAACGTTACATCAAAACTAATCATAACGATTAAAATCAGCTCCTCTGCGAGAGAGAGGCAAGAGGCAAGTTGGAGGCAGGAGCAGTGAGGGTGTTGTAAATGCAGAAAAAAAAAAAAGAAAGAGATTTCTTTATTTGATTTTATAAAAACATAAACTCTGCAAAGACTCCGGCAGTGCTGCTGCTGTGATCTGTTCCCTTGCTCGGAGTTTTATTCCGCAGATTGGTTTAGACTGGGGCAGAGACATGAGCTAATTGTATCCTGATCTTTGCCTTGAGGGGTTTCGGAGCCCTGGAGCAAGTATTCTCTGTATTTTGTTCTGTCTACCTTAGCCAAGCTATTGCATTTCTCACTGGTGTAGGAAGAGAAGCGGATCGGGCGCCAAATCGGAGGGAAAAGGTGCCTAAAAAGATACTTTATGCCGCTCCATGTATCAGGTAAGCGGAGATTTATTTCGTTTGCTTTTATTTCCGTGGCTGGATGGACTGGGACATTGAGGCGCAGCAGCTTTTACGCATGTGCCAAGCGATTCAAGCGGTACAGTTCTTTAAAAATGTTTAACCACTTCCTGGTTTTTGTTCTGTAGTTACTGTACTAATGTTTGCGCGTGGGTATGATTACACGAAGCTTTTTGGTGCGTCTGATCGAAACAAGAAGCGGATTTGTCTGCGATCTTGTCGAGCAAACGCTTTACTTGTCCACCGTGTGAATTCGCTCCTGGGCGCGTTTCAGCTGCGACCACATCGCCGTCCCCGGGTCTCTGTTGCTGTGTAAACTTGCTCTTAACTTACTCCAACCCACGTTTCTCCTCACTATGTAGGTTTTTTTTTTATACGAGTTTTGTCGTGAAGCAGTCATTTTCCCTGCTGGCTGCCCTAGATCTTCTAATGAAAGACGCCATTGTGGAGTAATTTTGCCGCAGGCGTTTTTCGTATTCCGAAAGACAGGATGTACCTTTTACTCACGTCAGTGCAGAATCTGTGAATCATCCTTTAATACAAGCCTTAGCCGTGTTAAGAGATTCACATTTATGCAAAACGAAGACGAAAATGGGAGCTTATTTCGTCCTCTCTACTCTCCGTTGGCTTTCCGGCAACGCCGTGCGTAAACCACTCCAAGGTCCGGAAGCGAATCGGCAAATATAGTTTTGTAAGTCATAATGTAGCCCTTATTTGTCCATTGGGACATGTACTGCTTAAATAAACACGCATTAATCCTCATAAAGTTTCTACTTGAATCCACCCTGAGCATGAAATGGAGCATTAGATTACTTAAAGATTCTTCACTGCACAGCGGGGAGGACGAGACTTTCAATGATTTATTAAGAGTAACAATAAGATGTCAAAGCCCTCTTTGTTCAGCCAACATCATGTTTCACCAGTTTGAGAGGGTTTGAGAATAACCAGAATGACATTGCGAGATTGAGATGTTGGGTTGTCTGGACTGGTCACTTGATGGCGCTGTATTAACAAAAGCGTACTACTACAGCTTCAGCACAGCATCTGAACATCTGTTCCCCAGTCTAACTGCACTTCTTATCACTCTGGTCTGCTAAAAGACACATGTTTAAAATGCAAGAAAGTGAGTTCATGTTAAACTCGTTAAACATCACCATAAGTTCAAAGTAAGTGGAGCTTTATTTGCCCAGCGGTAGCTTCATGCAGTGGATTACTGTTGTAATAGTTCAGTGGCTCTGACACTCCTGTAACCTGGGACAGTTTGGCCTGTGTCCACAACACTGATCACATTTCCTTCTTTATGATGTCATAATGCTACATTAGATCCACAATGAATGACTCTACTCTGTAGAAAAAAAACTCAAGCAGTTCTATGTGTTATGTTCTGCCAGCAACACTTGGATGTAAAATCTCAAACTTTGCATCAGCTCAGATTGTTTTTGAACTCTTTTTTTTGGATAGTTTCAGCGTTATAGTGCTGTTTATTCTTGGACACAGATTTGATAACCATGCCCCCCCTCCCCCCAAAAAAAATAATAAACATTTTCTATTACTTAAGAAGAAAAAAAGCCAGGTTTTATTTCCTCTGGAAATTTTGTTCCTGTAAACCTATTCTTGCTTTAAGGAAATAAGCTTTTACTCTGAATATTTTTCAAACTTGCTAACTTAGAAAAGGGTCGATACTGTGGAATCTGAAGAAATACATTCAGCTCAATGTATGAAGTACAATTAATGCAAACCAAAGGTAATGTTGCACTCAATATATATAAATATCTGAACTTCAAAAAAGACGTTATAACCTGACTCAGACTGCATGTCAACTTGTTGTGAGAGATTAAAACAAGAAAATATTGATGACATTTCTTAAGTTTCACCCAAATACTTAATATTAGCAAACAACTGTAGATACACCTGTGCAGACCCCCAGCCCTCAATATTAACCCTGGATGTCCAGTAACTCACACAACAGTCTCACAGTGACTGAAGTTAACCTTAACTCTGTGGACATTTGTATCAAATGGCCGTGGGCAAGGAAGCAGAGACAACCCATCCAGATTATGTAAATACCAGTCTGCCAGCCTCCAACTGAATGTTAATGCTCTGATCTGAAATGCTAATCGTGTCTTCTGCGATATTTCGAAACAGTGCATGCAGAGCTGCATTGTGGGATGGAAAAAATGAACGCCATAGTTTGTTGTTGATGTTGAGCCCAGCGGGACCTTTGATTATTACGAAGCAGACAGGTACTTGTTCCCGGAGCTTTAGGAGCATTTTTTGGAGTATTAGATTACTAATCATGTAAACAGAGCTACAGTGTGTGTTCCTTGAGATAAAGAAGATAGTTTTGCACAAAGTGCCTTGAAATACTTAATACCAGGAATGGAAAATAACAAGAGCAACCCAAGTAGTTTGATGCATCGTGCCTGTTTCAGATTTGTATGTGCATACTGTGGTGCAACACAATTATACAAAATGGTAAAACAAGCAAATTCCTGAATCACTTATACATTTCAGCTTGTTTCACAAAAGGCTGGAAACTTTGGGAACATGGCTCTACAAACAACTATACACAGGAGACTTTTTTTATTTCTTTTTTAGCTTTGTGCCAGATTCAAAGTGCAACAGGTAGAAAAACACTGTTGTGGAAGATGTGATGTGAATATCTGCAGCTGATTGTTGATGAATTATGAGAATGTTGTGAGCTTTGACCTTGTCCTCAAGATAAAGAGTACAAGAAATAACTTTAAAAGGCGAGCATACATGTATCTTAACTTCCAACAACTCGGAGTGATTTTGTGATAAAGGCTAGGAGCTGTTTTACCCCCATCCACCACCCACCCACCAACCCAGCCAGCCACTAGTTCTCTTTCACCCTCTCTTCTCTCTCCCCTGCAATTTTCCATAATGCCTCACAGATTTTACACTCAATCCACCTTTGCGATGACAAGGCTTTGAGGAAATCCAATTCCACCAAGCTGTTTTCAGAACTTACTCTCCACAGGCACACACACAGACACGCACACACACAGCACCATCTCCACAAATTAGTCAGGGAACAAATTACCTGCATTCTGAGTGTGATCCCACGCACTTTGCCGGCTGCCTTACACAGGTCCCCTTTTGAAGAGCAGCCATGTGATTTCTCTCTCTCTCGTGCCCCGCAGGCCCCTTTGCCTTCTGCGAGGGATTCTGGAGTTGAATTTTAAAACTATGTATGGCTGCTGCCTGCGCTTATCAGCGCGTGCACAAGCGGCATGCAAATCAGACCAGGATCACACACCGCATTGGAGGCCTGCACTCAAAGGCAAGCTTAATTGCTAATTGGGTATCTAGGTGTGAAACTCACACTGCCAATGAGAAGCAGGAGTGTGGATGTTTTAAGGCCAGTGGTTGAACTAATTAATTTTAATCGGAATGTTATTAAAATTTGTGGATTCCCTGCATTTTCTGTGCAAAGAAAAAAAAAACAGCCCAGGAGAGTGCTGTTGTAGGAGTTTGAACAGCAATTGGACATGTTGTGGTGCGGTTTTCTACTCTGTGGTGTCATCAGTGTGGTGGCTTTTGAAAAACTCATGTGGTCATTGGTGGTTGTTTCTACACTCTGCAGCAATCACATAGTTACTCTGATATCTGCCGAGAGCAATATCGAGAAAAACTAATCAACAAGATGTTTTATGTCCTCTTTTGTGAGGTGACTCATGCATGGTCCCATTCCCCTTTGATGTTTTTGCACATATATCACACTTTATATCAGTTATTATTATCAGTGTATAATGTGATATGAGAAGTTTAAGTAATGCATGAGGGCAAATGCTGTTAATGATTGCAGCCATTTTGATGAGCAGGTGCTAAAGAGTGAAGTGTGTGTGTGTGTGTGTGTGTGTGTGTGTGTGTGTGTGTGTGTGTGTGTGTGTGTGTGTGTGTGTGTATGTGTGTGTGTGCGTGCGTGTGCGTGTGTGTGTGGGTGGGTGGAGGATATTAAGGGGCCATTTATGCCCAGGTGGATGAGTGGGTTGGTCACCGTTTGGGTCCTTTCACTGAACTTTGTGGGTTCTGTTATTTAGAAGGAGCGTGTGATCAAATCTGCTGCTGAACAATGAGCATCTGGAGCAGTGTGACTTCGTGTGCAAACATTGCTCCTAAAGGGCAAAGGCCAGATGTGACAGGTCCAGATGTGCGCCTGGACCCCGAGTCGACAACGAGATGATCATTTTTTATGCCAGGCAGGATTAGTATTATTCTGAAAATGCGACACTCATACCTGCCGCTGAAACAGCGACAGCCCAGAAGACCCTCGGGCGCTACAATGCTAATGTTGTCGGGGGCTTTGACTTCTCCCAGCCATTGCAAAGACGCTGCTCCGTGTGACAGCCACGGCGCCGCTCTTCCCCCGGTGCTCGCTTTTCACGCCTCTCCACATTTGGCAGGTGTGTGTTGGTGTCAAAATAAAGAAGAGAGACCGACCGCGTCCTATCTGCACACCTTCAAGTCTGCGCCGTAATGGACGAAACGGACATCATGGACTTAACGCATCAGAAAGCGAGGAAGCGACCGCGTCCAATCAGTTCCGTGGATGAGTCGGTGCACGCGTCGCTCAAGCGGCTCCCGATCCGAGCGGCGGAGTGCAGGGAGCCCTCTTCACTCATGTTCTCAGTCCGAGGAGAGCCGATGCCCGCTGCGTCTCTCAAGCAGAATGACCACTCGCTGACATCCTCTCCAAACACAGTGATGCCGGCGCAGGTAAACGCGTAAAGTCCGATTTTATCTGAGAAAGGAGAGAGAACCGACAGTTAGTGTGGGGTCGAGCTGTCACTCCTGCTGGATGAGCGCAGTGACAGACACTTAGGTTTTGTCGAATGTTCAGTGGGTATATGTCCGGAGATGTCACGTTTTTGTTAGCATTACGCACGCACAATCCTCTATTTAATTTGGTTTAATCCATACTTTGGATGCACGTATGATGGTTCGATCTGCAGGTATTGTCAGTGATTGTGATGTTGCACACACACAAACACACACTTCCTTTTTCTCCCATCTTTTCTCTGGGTGTGAAACTTTTTGGAGGGTTCAAGTCATTTTCTTCTGAGAGCTCTCACAAATTGTCTGCTAATGGTGTTTGTAGGTTAACAGGAGACAATTTCTCCAAATCCTATTACAGTATTCAAATCAAGAGTCATTATTGCTCATTTTCCAAGACTGTGAGATTGATGCTTCAAATTAATTTGGTTTTGGAGATTATGGCCCACAGGAGTGGATGCTTGTGGATTGTGGCAACATTCAGGTCAAGGTCAGGCTGCTCCAACTTGCAGAGAAGAAAAATCTTTCTTTTCACTCCTGACTGAAGAGTGTGTTAGGTTACAGAAATGTGAAAATTGTTGTTTCTTTCTTCTTTTTTCATCTTTTTTTTATTTATTTATTTTTACACAGAAGTGAATTTTCTAAATCTCATTTTTTAACTCCCTTGTGGTTGCAAAGCTGTATTCACATCTTGATCTGAAGAAGAAAAACAGAAATCAAGATATCTTCCTAACTTACCTTCCTGGGTTGTAATTATTTCTCCCTCTATTTTGCCTTACAGGATCATCGCTCCAGTATGTCCAGGCCCATGATCACACGGTCGCCAGTGTCTCCCTTAAGTAACCAGGGCATCCCCACACCTGCACAGCTCACCAAGTCCAATGCTCCTGTGCACATTGATGTGGGCGGACACATGTACACCAGCAGTCTGGCCACATTAACAAAATTCCCAGAATCCCGGTGAGTCAACTCTAACATTCGTTTGTAGTTTACGTTTTAGCTGCAGATATAGTGTTTTTTTTTTTTTTTTCCAATAAAAATGTTTTGTTTTTTTGTATTTTGCTCATATAAGAAAGGGAGGATTTGTAGAAGATTTGGTTTCTGTACAAGTCAGATGTGTTTATCAGCAACAGAATGTCATCCTGTGACATTAAACAAATGTCACATCTCTTCAAATCACAAAAATATCTTGTGGATGTATTTGGCGGAGAAAGTGAGTTTGGTTTTAAAAGTTTACTCTTTTTTTAAAGGATGCACTATCAGATGCTTTTGGTTCATCAAAAAAGCCCAGAGTTATTTTTGAGTGGTAAACAATTTGCAGGAGCTTCGAGTGCAGAATGCAGAGCACAGACAAAGGCAACTTGGTTATTCTGACAGATGTCACAGCAGCAGTAAAGGGCCAAAGGGCATGGGGCCATCTGGATGCCGGAAGGCTGAACTGTCGCCCTGAGCCTGAGGCCCGAGGGTGACTGGCACCCTGCCTCAGGCAACCAACTACCAGCTGGCCCTGACCTTCTCAGACCACCTCTGCTTTTCAATTCTTTCTTTCTTTCTTTCTTTCTTTCTTTCAATGTGTGCATATCTGTGCGAAGGTGTAAAAAAACCTTTCAGAGCCTGTGAGTGAGTCACATCCCTCTGCACATGCTCTTGCTTCACTGTATAATTTCTCCCTCTCTCTCTCTCTCTCTCTCTCATTTTTTCCACCTCACTTGACAAGGTGCCAGAAACAGAAACTCAATAGCTCAAGACAAACTTTAGCATGCACAAATACAAATATATAAGATTGCTAATGTTGTCATGTTGTCACCCTCCCTCCCTCCCTCCCTGCCTCCCTCTCCCCTCTCTGCGGGTAGAATCGGTCGTCTCTTTGATGGCACAGAGCCCATAGTCCTGGACAGCCTGAAGCAGCACTATTTCATTGACAGGGATGGACACATGTTCCGCTACATCCTCAACTTCCTCAGGACGTCCAAGCTCCTCATTCCAGACGACTTCAAAGTGAGTGCATGTCCATCCCAGAAACTGTAAAGTCCTATCAGCCAGTCAGCAACTCAGCACACACAATGAATGCTAAAGCCGGGGTATGCCTTTGGTCACTGGACCTCCAAAAAATAAACGGTTCCCATGCTGGAGACTAAATATGAGAGCAAACAAAGCTCAATCATTATGCATGTACTCATCACGAGGTTAAGCTTGATCCCCTCCAGCTTCTAGCTGCTGCAGATGCTTTGGAGATATGTCAGGAGAGCAATCATTTTGCATCAGGACAAATAAATAAATCTTGTGGCGCCACATTTCTTCAGAGCTCTCTATTCCCATGCCAAGTGTCCATCCAGGGTGAGTCTCACTGTATGTGACACGTTAGAATTCCCCCTTTTTTTACTTTATGTGTCATTAAGTCAGTAATTACTTAACTAGCCCCAGGAGAAAACAAATCCTACATTATCTGATGGACTGTCCACACTGTGACTCAATCAGTGGAAAGTATGTCAGCTAAAAAAGGCAAAGACAAAAGAAAGGCTCAAGTTCAAGCTGAGGCCACATTCACATTTAGTTGATTTTTATTTTTTATTTTCTTAGAGGAGCAAAAAGGAGAAAAACTGGGATGTGTTGCGTTTCAGGCCCTGCAGTCCTGCGGGTAAAGGATCTGCTCCTCTACCCCACACAGCCCTGTGTTATATGTCGCACTACATCTCCTCCACTCAGATTTTTTTTCTAATTATTGCTGAATAGTGTCTTCGCTGTGGTTTATTGCTTGTTCATGCAGAACAGTGGTTTTCAGACTTCTTTGTTGTTGTGTTTCTATTCAGGATCGGCATAAGAAGGAAATCACAACTTGTAACTGATTCTGTTTATAGATATTTTGCGCTCTAGTATTGGAGAAATGTGTTTTCTGCTTCATTAAGCTGCTAACTTTTTACAACTCAGCCCAGCCTACCTAAAAAATACAAGACTTATATTCATACGGTAAATACTAATGGTAAATGTTTTCTGTTGGATTTTTTATGTTTAAAAAAGGAACAGGAGAGATTTTTTAGCCAGGTTGATTTCATTTGCATGTGAGTAGCTGTTAATAAAAACATAATCCATACAAACAAGAGTGTTTATCTTACATATTTTATATATTTTGTATCACATATTCCAAAGTATTTTGGATGTTTTCAGATTATTACAGTGCTGAATTTAAGAACCAGCAGGAGTCACATGATGTTCTCCCCTATATATTGAAATTATACTGCATGCTTCTTTAAAAACAATACAGCTTGTATGCTATACCTGTACAAAATATAAATATTATAAATAGATATTACCGCATTGATATGGTCAAATGTTAAAGGGTAACTGGGCTCATTTTAGCTACCCTTGAAGTATTATTTTGACATTGGCTTTACTTATTAGGGGGCATTAGAGATGTTTGACATCACATCATCAGTATCTTAAACCTGTGGGCCTTATTATGAAGCACTTGCTTTGATGATGAGAACTGAGGCTTGAAAAGCTGATCAAGTTGAACTCACATTAACATAACCACCATAACATCAACATCTTTAAAATGTTCGACCAAATTTGCCATGTTTAAAAAATAAATAAATGTGATCCTCCTCCTGTAGGATTACAGTCTGTTGTACGAGGAGGCACGGTACTTCCAGCTGCAGCCAATGCTGGCCGAGCTGGAGCGCTGGCGTCAGGACCAGGAGCTGAGCCGGGTGTCCCGCCCCTGCGAGTGTTTGGTAGTACGCGTGGCTCCTGACCTGGGCGAGAGGATCACACTCAGCGGAGACAAGGCCCTGATCGAAGACGTGTTTCCGGAAATCGGCGACGTCATGTGCAACTCTGTCAATGCCGGCTGGAACCACGACTCCACGCATGTTATCCGCTTCCCTCTGAACGGATACTGCCACCTCAACTCTGTTCAGGTATTGAGAACAGCTGTATCTTCATTTTGTCATTTTAGCCCTCAAAACCTTCGAACACTCAATCTTTTCTATTCATTTCCTTTCTATTGAACACACAACAAGTTAACCAAGGTGACCATGTGTTCATTCAGCCTTTTTATCTGCTCTAATACTGTAGATATTTTACTGATGTCAGATGTCAAAATCACTTTTTTAATCCAAACGAATCACGAGAACAGCCTCGCAGAAAAATGAGCCCTTTGATGAGTTCATCAAAGCATCAATTTAGAGAGCCATCATTACACAAGTCTACCACTATCTTTACTTTTCTGTGACCTGACCTGAATAATGATTTCAAGAAAATGCTGCAAAGCTGGAGGACGGACAGTTTTAAAAAAATCATGCATCTTGGAGCACTGAAAAAAAAACTGTACATTAAAGCAGAGTGTGGGCTTCAGGTCCAAGCTCCAGAAAAGCCATAGTCAATGGATTCATGGTGGATCTTAACTCTTTAAGTGGAAGATGGTTGAGTCTCAGGATCTTGATAAAAAAGTCCTGTATGAGCAAAATATGAAAAACTCACTGACAGCAGGGGAAAGTGCTCACTTGTAGGAGGCAATTAAAACAAAACTTAAGTAAACATTACCTGTTTAAGTGTCCTTAGGGGTCGCTGTATCAGTGTTCACTTTAAAGTGAAGAATAAAAAAAAAGAAAAAGTGTAAAACATTTATAAAACATCACGTAAGTAGCAGCAATTCATGTGAGTTCCATGCTCCCATTAAGCCAAGTAAGAAAAGTGATGCCACATGGTGTTATTTTTGTTGATCAAAGACATCCTTTATTATCGTCTGAATCAACCTGTTAGAGAAGTTTGGAGATTTCTGTTTTTTCACATGAAAATCTGTGACTTAGTATTTTCGACTTTCCAAATTGATGTACAAATAAGTTTCATTATACTCTTGATCTTGGCGTCACATTGACATGACTTTAAAGGATGTAATATTATCCTGATTTAGCAAAACAGCTTTGAGGATTGACCATATTTGTTAGACTATGATAAGATATTAAAAAGATAGCCTCTCCATACAGAAAATAAGTATAAAATGTATTTTTTATCAGTATGTATTTGGCAATAGGGTATGCCTGTGATTATATATTGATATACCACTGATTCATTGATGGTAGAATCCTCAGATACGCGTCAATAAAAGATGGAAGAGAGGCATTTTTGAAAAGATTCACAATGATTTGGACCGTGTCTCCATTGGAGGAAGTCAAATCTCCATCTCCCTCCTAAAAAAACACACAAACAAACCCGCCTATGAAGTATGTGAGTCGTGGAGAGCAAGCAAGAGAGTGAGCATGCTCCCTGGCAGGTTGTCCCCAGGCTGGGCCCATAATCCTGTTTGGTTATTAAAGCACGCCGGCGGTGGATGCTGTATCTGCGGCTAATGGAGGCAGGGCGGGGGTTTTCAGAGAAGGAAGGGGGGGCAGAGAGAGCTGCCAGCAGTAGGGGGACCTTTGTAGTTTTGGCGGAGGCTTGGGCCTGAGGGCTGGGGGAGAAAGCGAGGGGAGAGGAGAGGAGGGGAGGAGGGTGGGTTTGCTGAGCAGTCCACACTGAGCCAAGTGGCAGAGAGAAAGCTTCACTGCTCCCCGGGGCCTCTTCGATGGAATGTGATCCTACAGGCCCCCCGGACACGTCTGTATATGTCTGCGAGGCTGCGTGATGAGGAACAGCTACACACACACACACGCTGACAAACACACGTATACAACCCTGAAACAATGAAAACGAGGCAAAACGAGAGGCTCTTGGTTTTGTGGAAGACTCATCCAAATTCCCGTCACAGGCCGTATGTTGCTGCAGCTCACTCCCAAAGCTGTTTCCAATGTTAGAACAACTTGGCTGCGTATAACTAGAAAAGTTGGGATACTTCTGTGCTTTCGAGTTTTGCAGAAGTACCACAAAGGTCAGAGGTTACGTTAGTTTCTTCAAATTATAGTTTCAAGGAACTAGTAAAACTCGGATTTGTCAGGCATCTCCTACACAAAGTCTGCTAAAGAAATATACGATACTAATGGTGCTTTTACCTCTGTAATTGTATCCTGACTTTCTTCTGACATCTTACAATTTTTCTCCTGTTCCTCCTCTCTCAGGTTTTAGAGCGTCTCCAGCAACGCGGCTTCGAAATCGCTGGCTCCTGTGGTGGAGGCGTGGACTCGTCCCAATTCAGCGAGTACGTCCTGAGGAGGGAACTGAGGAGGTCAAATCAGCGAGGACCCAATTCAAACAGGATAAAGCAGGAGCAGCTGGATTAGAAACCTCCCAGGCAGCAGGAGGTGCTAGACTTTTTTCTGTGGCAGCCTAAATGCTTCGATGCTACAGAGCTCTGTGGACTCTGTTTTTTTTTTTCGTTTCCTTGTTAATGTTTTTGCTTTTTTGAACTTGAGAACCATCTAGAGAATTAAATAATGAGGTGCAACAGGAGATTTTTTTGCCATAAGAAGATACAGGACATTTGATAAGTTTGAGATTGCGAGGACATTTGTGATTGTCTAGCCCCCATAAGCCAATTTAAAAAGGATTTATATATGCTGGATCCCCAAACAAAGTTTGTTTTAAAACTTAGAACCTACATTAGGTTAAATATGACTTCTATTACACCCATATAAATTAAAAAGCCTTTCATTGCTGATGTAGTATATTGCAAAGCTCGTCATCAGTGAATGGATTTTGTGTCTCACTGGCAAATTGGAAAAGTCTGTTTTTACCCCTCGCTGTAAAAAAAAAAGTCACTAATGTGTTGCTTACAGTACAGAATGTCTCAGTTGTCATGAATATGTTTTCAAAGCATCCTTTTTTTCACAATGAACATGATGTTGAATATTGTAATACCAATGAAGTGTTTTTTTTTACATTGATGGAAGTTATTTTATTAAATTAAACCTTAAAATATAGCTGAAAATACTATCAGAATTAAACACCATAGTCCATTCTATACACAGTAATACAATAATTTAGTAAGTCATAAATTCATTCCATTTGTCTCATTAGGGAGTTTGAACTACAAATCCCACAATGATTTAATTGGATCATAATATTCCTCTGAGTCATGACTTGTACTTTTTTTCATTGTATATGTGTGTTTTCTACATTAAATCTTTTTAAAGCACACTTGTTGTCTCAGACATGACTGAACAGATAAAAGCTTATTGTACTGCCCACTTCGAGATCACTTTTACTTGTAGCACATGTTGATATAAAGTTGGATATAAAGTATTTCTAAGATGACTGACCCACCTACGCTCCCTAGATTTGAGAAAAGAGGAATGTAGCAAAAAAAAGTGAAATAAATCTCAACTAAAGCTGTCATGGTGTCCGCTTCCTGTTTTCACATTGATATTGGGATTTTTCTGACATTCAAGCGTGTGAATACTTAAAATTTGAATTCACTGGATCTATCCAAGCTCTTAACATCTTTAAACATCCTTAATTTATTCAAGAAGTAAATTCTTTAACATTATGTAGTGGTTCTGTACCAGAGGTAAAACTACTTTACCAAGGCATTATTATACCTTGGAGGATTTGTGCTGGTGCATCATTGACTACATGGAGCATTCTTTACTTAGTTATATTGAATAGAACCGACTTATCCACGCAAGTCCTGTCAGTTGTGCTTCCACATATCCCTGCAGGGCCAAAATACAAAGTGAAATCCCACACGGAGCCCTGTCGTCTTGTCTTCATCCCTTTTGGCAGAATCTCCACTTTCTTTGGCTATCTACGGTTTATGCTATATGTCTCCCTTTCAGGCCTCTGTGCCCTAGATTCTCGTCGGGCTGACTGTTTTTCTCAGAGGCTAGAGGTGCAACTGAGAGTGGTACAGAGAGATGCTTTGCTTTAATCATAAAATCATACGTTCAGTGCCCATGTAATTAGCAAGGATTCATGGAGCAGGTATCAACATGGCAACACTCAGCTACAACTATTAGACTTTACAGACTCATACAACTGTTTTAGGTGAAATATAATTGATGTTTTATTTTTAAAATCAACATAAAACCAAATCAACAATAGTTAATCTGCATCGCAGCAATTACAATTGTAAAATTCTCCACAAATACTCGGTAAATTTGGGTGCTAGTTTAGCTCAGATGTTAGAGCATGGCACCCTGAAGAGGCTACGGTCCTCCAGGTTTGTCTCCCTGTCCTGATTCTCTCTCTCTCTTCACATTTCCTGTCTCTCTTTAGCTGTCCTATCAAAGACAGGCAATAAACAGTGAGATAACATTACTATTATTGGACAACCACATTGTTAGCTGTAAGCTAAAAGAGGTATTTATAAAGCACTACAACAAAGTGTCACCTTCATCAATTTACAAACAAACAGCTCTGCTTTAAAAAGTAATTTGTGCGCCTGTTTCTTTCGTTCACTACAAAAAATAAACGAACATGCTAGCTAGATTAAGATCTTTACATCCCCAAGTGTATCGCTCTTGATCTCAATAGCCAAAGATACTGTTTTAAAAATGGAAAGGCACTACCTAAAAAATATTTAAAACGTGTTATTTCAATTAGAAGCACACAGTTTAATATAAAGAAACTAAGCTCATTGACTTTCTTGCCATGTTTTCAATAAAGAGATTGATCTTAAACTCATAACTAACTTTGCCTTTAACTCTTTTTCTCCGTAATGAAACACCCACAACTCATCTCACTCCCTCCCACTTGAGCTCCTTCAAAGTATCACTTTCATATTCATATTTAAGACACAAATCTAAAGCTAGTTAGCCTAACTTCATTTAGAAAAAAACAAATTGTGTAGACGGTTTTATATTTTGATCATTGTATGGATTAAACGGAGAGGATATGGAATGGTAAAGGCATATTTCCCTACATCGAGAAAGTACCAAGCTAGCCTTTCTCCTTGTTTTTAGTCTCGTGCTAAGCTAAGCAGCTACTTGCTCATGCATTATGTTGTACTGACATGGGGAGTATGAATGTTTGCGTTTAAATCTCAGAATGAAAGTAGTTAACCGTTTATACACGGCTGCCATGTTGTGTCTTTGATGCAAATTTCTTTGGCTAACAGATAAGATTGGCTTACAAGTAGCCATTGTTTTCTGGAATAAAATGCAGTTAATGGTGCCAGAGAGAGAATGAACATGAGTAATATTAAAAACTGGTACTTTTTGTGCACACTATGTGATTTTTAAGTTAGCTACCTGTGGGGCAGCCTAAGTATAATGAGACCATGTCCAGCCCTATCTCTACTCACTTCCTGGATTCAGACTAAGTTGAAAAGGAATTACAGATATCCTGCTCTCCGGACACAGCCTGTTGGAGAAAAGATGAATGGTATTAAGAAACTGACTTGCAGTCCTTTAGAGGACAGGGGCTTTTCAGCAGAGTATAAAGTAATTTGAGATCCTCCTCTCTGCTGTGGTGTGTCTGTGATCATGTCTCTCTCACTCGCCTTCTCTCTAGTGATTATTTCCAGTCATCAAAAGGCAGCGTAGGGCCTGGAGAAAGTGGCTGTGGCCATCTTTTCCTCACTCCCCAGGCTCTGCTTACTCACCACGAGTGAAGGTCAGTGGATGGACTCATTCACCTCATCTTCAAATCATCAGCCCTCACAGTGCTCGCTTAAACAGTACTGTGAGAGCCACTCCTAATGAATGTCCTGACTAAACACACATATATCAGGACATACTTTGTACTTTGGATTGAGTCTTTTTTCTGTTAGCAGTCCTCTCTCTTGTTCTGTGTTGATCTGTAGGTAATACTCTGTGCTTTAGGTGCCGCCTACCTTTATTGAAAAAGCCTCCTGGCCATTTCATGCCAGCAAGATAATTATAAATGTAACCTCTGGCAAAAAAGCAAAACACAACTCCCACATCTTTCCCTTGCCATTCCTCTCCCTCTCTCTCTCTCTCTCTCTCTCTCTTTCTCTCTCTGTCTTTCTCTCTTTCTCTCTCCCTCAGCCTCGGGAGCTGATTTCAAATTTTCAAAGATATCTCATAGTGAGCCTGTGAGATTGAAGGCTCATAAATACCTTTATTATAATATAATGGCCACATATTTCTCGCAATTATTTCTAGTGGAAAAATTAGTTCATCTGTTTGATGAATGCCTGCACAGTCTTCTGGGCTTTAAATGTTCTTAGACGGACAAGCGCTGGTGGGATAATATCACAAATGGACACTCACTAGTGGAATAATAAGTCACAGCGGCTTTGCATCTAGAAGTAGTGTAAAGTGTAAATTGGAGAAGCTAAAAAGAAAAAGAGGGATTGAGCATCTTTACTGATGGATTCTTTGGGGTTGATCTTGTTTAAAAAGTGGCTGCATGCAAGAGATATCCTTGTTACTTTTGTTTGTGCAGCACCATATCAACACATAATCCCTACGTCCCCAAAGTTTTCTATTTTGCAAGAGCCCAAGGCAGCTTGTAATAATCCACTTTTAATGTGTTACAGATTTTAACCCAGTAAGGTTTGATAACCTCCGCAGAGGTTTATTAGCTGGGCCATACAAGATACTTTTGCAGCAGAACAGTTTCTTGAGGAATGAAAAAAAATTGGTTGGACAGCCCAAGAGGATCACAAGAGCATTTATTTTCTGATAATTTAACAGAGTGTTGGTGACTTCTCGGAAACAGTCCTTCATTACAAGAACTCAGTGATTAGGGTTTGTGCCACAATACAATTTGAGGTTTTGTTTAGATAAATAAAATGATAGCAGTTCAGATCCATGCAGCAGAACCTGAGATGTTCTGTCTTTAGGCTCTTGTAAGTCTATAAGTCGGTCTCCAAAAACAATGCATCCTACACAATCCACCATTGTTTAAATAGACTGGGAGTTTAATGCAATGCCAGCAACTCTGTGTGGCTATAGTGAGGCTAAGTGGTGCTTTGCTATGTGTTAATGTAAGAATTTCAGCATGCCCACAGTTACAATTCAATTGATAACTTATTTGCTTAGTATTTTATAATGTACTTAAATAAGGGACAAAGCATTTTTAACCAAGGGCTTAAGATGACAAGTAATGGCTACCAAAGTTTGACCATTCCATGGAGTACATCAATGCCTGTGCCAGTGTTATTCGCAGAGCTTTATAGTTAAGGAGGCCACCTTAAAAACACGTGCCCTCCGCCTTAACTACGGTTGTAGACAGTGGCGATTCTAGAGTCTGTTGGGGCTGGATCAAATGGGGGGTCCCTCCAACCAGCGCCCATCATGTCTGCCAGTGTCCTGACTCATACTCCTCTTCTTCTATTTTCCTGTTTCCTTTTTCTCTCCTATAGACGGATAATTCCTCTTCATCTTTCTTTGTTGCCCTTCACTGACAAACTTAGGTTTTAACAGCAAGAATGCATGCAACGCTAGTGAGTGCTGTCAGATGGGGCCCCCTTAGGGAGGTTCCCTACTATTAATGTGAAAATTGCACATTGTGGGCCACTGCTGTGGCCCTCAGGGGCCCCCTGCTGGCCTGGGGCCCCAAGCAGTTGCCTGCCTTGCCTGTTGACAAGCAGTGCCTCGGGGTATATAAATAAAAGCCCCAAATTCATTTAAATCCTCCTGAGAGGAGGTGGATGGAGCTCATATCATATCGTAAATAGATATTACGCATCGCCTGCAAGGTGTAATGCTCAGAACAAATCAGCTGTTTAGGTCTGTGAGCTTCAGAAGAGACAACAAATACACCCAAACAAAAGCAGCGAATATGACACGTAGTTTGCTGTGGATACCAGAGGATACTTTTATTGAGTGGACTACACAGAGGAAAAACAGATGGAGACTAAACAGGTCCGAAAGAGAGAGGGGGGTGGATTCTTTGGAAACTGGCAGACAGGAGAGATCCCAAGCTACCTGGTGTTGCAGGTGTGTAAACTGTGAGCTAATATCCACAAACCAAGTGCGACTTGGTAAAAACAGTGCTTCAGGACCTTTATGGATCAGAGAATACCAGTGGCTCACATATGCTTGCAGTTCACTCACGATAATGAGTTCCCTGATATACTGAACGCTGTTTTTTTTATTGCATTATAATACAAGCCATACAATCATGTCGGTCTCTCCTCAAGAAGCCAAGCTGACCAACATCTTCTGTGGATAGGTTACCTACTATGAAGAGTACTTTTTTCAACCACACTTCAAAAATAGTGAACTATCCCTTTAACATGATAACTAAATTGAGAAAGACATTTGAAATCAGCTGACTTAACCATCAATTAAACAGAAATTCAAAAGGAATCAATAACCCTAGTAAATAACCCTGGTTGCTTAAAATTAATCTAAATCTTAAGGTTAGGAATGTTAATTTACCCTGATTCTGTATTAAATGTAGCCTACACTATGCTACTGAAAG